TCATCATTTGCTTGCTTGCTTGCTTGCTTGTGTGCAGATACATAATTCTTTTGTATGTGCAACTGTGTGTGTGTGTATGTGTGTGTGTGTGTGTGTGTGTGTGTTCATAATGAGACTTGAACTCAGAGCCTCTCTTCTCTTTTTTGCTCAATGTTGGCACTCTATCACTTGATCCACACTCCACGTTCAGGTTTTTGGTGGTTAATTGGGAAAAAGAATCTCATGGACTTTTCTGCCCAGGCTGACTGAACTGTAATTCTCAGATCTCAGCTTCCTGAGGAGCTAGGTTTACAGACATGAGTCATCAGCATCTGGCTCAATGTATACATAATTCTTAAAGAAGAGAATGGATAAAGGATACTAATGCAGGCGACTGGAAGTATGGCTCAGGTGATAGAAGTGCCTGCTCAACAAGTACAAAGCCTGGAGTTCAAACCACAAAAAGAATCCACCCTGCCCCACCCTACCCCTTGCCAAAAAACAAACAAAATCTCACACAACTACAAAGAATCCACTGCAAAAAAGGTGGGAAATGTGTCAGGAATGGGGATGGCCAGGCAATGTGACTGAAATGAATGAGGGATGTTTTAAACTACTATTTAGACTTTGTGATAAAGTGATGCAATAGAGGGAAAAATATATTTTGGAAGAATTGTCTGATAATCATCTGTTAGCTGCCCAAGGCTCTTTGACTTGCATAATTAAAGTTCCTAGGGCTTTCTACCTTTGGTCTCTATAGTAAATCATATTAATCAAACGTTGTCCCTTATTGTTTCATTAAAATTATATTATGGATCCACCAATAAATATTTATGGTTTGGTTCAAAATAAAACAAAACAACTACTGTTTTCCAAACTTATTAACATCAGCTATTTTCCTACCCTTCCCTCAGGGTGGTTATGATATTCATTTGTAATATTGTTAGGCGAAGTTGTTACTGTTTGTTTTCACTTACAGTTCTCACATTCTAGTTGATGATATTTATTTATGGGAGGGTGTGGAGGGGGTGTACACACAGATGTTTTCTGACACTACAGTAGATACAATTTCAAAAGCTTTTGAAAAATCCCTGATGATGAAATAATTATTTTTCATGTCATCAAACTTTCTTTGGGCTGGATGAGGGGCTCATGCCTATAATCCCAACCACTCAGGAAGTAGAGATGAGGAGAATTATGGTTTGAGGTTGGCCCTAGGAAAAAAGTTAGTGAAATCTTCATCTCATCAAATAAATTGGATATGGTGGTGTGTATCTGTAATCCCAGTTATAGAGGAGGCATAGGTAGGAGTATTGTGGTCCTGAGCCAGCCCAGGAGAAGAAAATGTGAGATCCTATCTGAAAAATAACTAAAGTAGCCAGGCCCTGGTGGCTCACACTTGTAATTCTGGCTATTCAGGAGGCTAAGATCTGATGACCACGGTTGAAAGCCAGCCAGGGAAGGAAAGTGTGGGACGTTCTTTATCTCCAATTAACCACCAAAAAGCTAGAAGTGAAGCTATGGTTCAGGTGGGAGAGTGCTAGCTTCAAGGAAAAAAAAGCTCAGGGACAGTGCTTAGGCCCTAAATTCAAGCCTTAAGATAGGCACAAAAAATAATAACGAAAGTAAATTGGGCTGGGAGCCCGGCTCATGTTGTAGAACACTTACCTAGCACGCATGAGGCCCTGAGTTCAAACCTTAATATTGTTAAAAATTATTCTATAATACTATATTTTTTTGCTGGTCCTGGGGCTTGAACTCAGGCAGGGCCTGGGGGCTGTCCCTGAGCCTCTTTGTGCTCAAGGCTAGTGCTCTACCACTTGAGCCAAGGCACCAGTTCCGTCTTTTTCTGAGTAGTTTATTGGAGATAAGAGTCTCACTCTTTCCTGCCTGGGCTTCCAACTGCAGTCCTCAGATCTCAGCCTTCTGAGTAGCTAGGATTACAGGCATGAGCCACTGGCACCTGGCTTATAATACTATTTTTTGATATAATATTCCACCCTGTATATAGGATATACAGGATGGAATACTTAGCATATATGTATGTTTTCTTATTAAAATGTTTTGATAAATGTACTACTGAACAAATATTTCAGTACAATGATTACCATCTTGGAATAAAATTCTACCTGCAGAATTGCTGGAAAAAAGCAGGAATATTTATAGTTTTGCTTTCTGGAAAAGGTATAGCAACTTACACTTCCTTCTTTCCTGTCAGTGACTACATGTATAGGCTTTTCAGTTGACAGTAATAGTTTCATCACAAGTAATCGTAAATATAAATTCATATTCTTGGGTATTTTAGGTACTGTGGTGCTTTCACACACATGATTTAAGCTTATTTTATGATATCCTAATATTGTGTGTGTATGTATGTTGGGATGGGGCTAGAACTCAGGGTCTCATATTGGCTGTTTTGTTCACTACTGGCACTCTACCAATTGAGCCATGACTCCCATCTAGCCTTTTGCTGGTTAATTGGAGACAGAATTTCTGAACTTTTCTGTTGAGGCCAGCTTCAAACTGTAATCTTCAGATCTTAGCCCCCTAGGATCACAGGTGTAATTAAGTCTTCTTAACCATCTTGTAAAGTTGAAATTATTATCCTCATTTTATAGACAAAGAAACTGAGATTCAAAAAATATATTAACTTTGTTCTGAACCAGATGACCAAAACATTGCAAAGATAGGATTTAAACTCAGTTACATCTACTATTATCACTGAATTACAGATATCTCAGGAACTTGAATGTTAGATCATTACTATCATCATCATAGGGCCTAATATTTAAGTACTTATTGTAGATCAAGTAGTGCTATATTCTAACATATAGTGCCAGACAAATGAGGTACTATCTATTCTTACTCTGGAGACACTGACATGATAAACTTGTCAGGGTTGCACAGCTAGGAACTAGCATTCAAAGCTAGGCAGTTGGCCAGTAATGACCAAAGTATAATATAGTAGCATACAGAGTTGTGGGAAACTATATCTCATTACAATTGTCTTTAAGAGGAGGAAAAATATGGATTAATTCTACTAATGAACTTGACGGAACAAGTGAAACAAAAAATTCCCCCAATTACTTAGAAATGCTGTTTTATCATTTGAGATGGGAGAACTTTCTCAAGTTTAAGTTAAGTATAATCTACTCTCATATTGATTCTGTTGGATAAATGAAGCATTCTCATTACTATTAATTATTTTGAGCCTTTTCCTCTAGTCTTACTTTGGTATATAGACATTATTAAAGATTAGGGAGATTATGAGAAAGAGTCATCTTTCATATAATTCCCATAAGGTCAATATTTTTTCTTTCACCTACCTCCCAACAAAACCAACCTAATGAGACATAAAACATATTATAATGAATGGGATGAAGACTTTTTGCCATTTTTATGCAGAAAATGCCTCATTAAAAGCCAGTGCATCAGCAAGCAGATTTGAGTTAAATAAGAATTTCTGTCAACTAGGGCGCCTCCATAACAAATCACTAGCATGAGTCACTGCTGTGGCTGAGAAACTAGAAAACTCGAAGAGGCCCTGCCCCCCCTCTCCTCAGGCTATGTCATGAGTCACTGCTCTGGCTGGGGAACTAGAAAACCCTAAGAGGCACTGCCCTCCCGCCCCTATCCTCAGGCTATGTCACAGCAATGTGACAGTGCATTGTGGTACTCAGTGTGCCCTTACTGAGCACTGAAAGACACAGTGTCCACTGTCCAGATGCAAATAGGGAAAAAAATATCTAGCCATCACCTACCATCACTCAGGCCTTATCTGGATATGATTTTATGAACATACTTTTAGGTGAAGGGTGCTTTCATTCGGATGTTTGACATCATGAGACCTGACTGTTTTGCATATTGTACAAGGCATAAGGTTCAGGGTTTACAGTCATAGATACACAATTCACGTCCAACAACAATAGGGGGAGTGAGGTCAATGGCAGGGGGGAAGATGGATGGAGAGAGGGAAGGTGAGTGGATGCAGTTATAATATTCGATTTTCATATGTGAAAGTGGAACCAGGTCAATTGAGGAGATGGGTGGGATAATACTGAAAGGGATGCCATTGATCAAGATGCATTGTACTCACAAACTAACATGTGGAATTGAAACTCCTTTGTACAACAACTTAAATAATTACATTACTACTATCATTAATAATAATAAACCTTATACCCACACTGATGACAGACCTGCAAGCAGGAAGTCTGGGCTGCTCTCGTCACAAAGTGAAATCAATGATGTCATAGTCCTGGATTTCAGTGACATCCTACTCAGAGGTACAAATGTTCACTTGTTCCCACTGAGGCCCCAGAAGGCATACCTAATGTGACATGTTTTATTTGTGGCTGCTGATTATGTTTGTGGGTGTTCTGAACTGGGTCCATTTTATCATCTGTGATCCATATTGAGGGCTCATGCTGAATTGAAGTGGAATCCACATGGACAAGGCTGAAAATCGCCAGTGCACTGGTCATGTCACTGAGGTAATAAGTCACCTTTAGGGAGACAGCTTCCTTATAAATGGGAAAGTGTGTAGAGATGATGTGATTGCTCTTCAGTTCTTTCTCAGAGTATGTCAATGAGTCAGCCATGCCATCTGCTCACTAATAACAGCAGTGCTGGTTGGGGTTAATTTTTCCAGACATCTTCTTCTATGTCAGTTACTGTGTTGTATCTCATGTAATCTTTGGCACCAAGGCCAAAGACAGTGACAGCCTAAATTTTTCACTTCTGAAGAGAACTAGGATTTGCAATAGGTTTGTTTTCTGATTTTAGAAAATTTATTATCGTTTTACTGCAGTGTGCAAGCAGTTTATTAAAAATCCACGCCAATACATTTATTAAAAAATATTCCTTTTGGGAATGAAAGAGGGAAAATCAATTTGTTTCCAAATGTTTGCAATTTGCAGTCTGCCCAGCTTTCATGGAGAAAGGGAAACTGAGATTGAGTCCCATCAGAAACTCATGTTGATTGCGGCAAGTTTAGGGGTGCCCTTGGCTGCCCTGCTTACCGTTAGGAAGTGGCGGTCCTTCACCTCACGCCTTCTCTGGCTGTGAGCGGGAGGGTAGGCTGGCAATGGCGGAGCAGCTATGGATAGGGGAGCAGCAGATCTCTGCTCCCGGCGATCACTACGGCTCCGGTGTTCTGAGGAGACAGAAAAAAAAAATCCTAGTAAAATACGTTTTATATTTGCAACGCAAAAAGCTATTTTGTTTTTCTCAAAAAGTAGGCTTGCCAGGCCTGGGTGGCTCACGCCTGTCATCCCAGCTATTCAGCAGGCTGAGATCTGAGGAACTCGGTTCGAAGCCAGCCCAAGCAGGAAAGTCCATGAGGCTCTTATGTCCAATAAACCACTCAGAAAAGGTTGGAAGTGGCGCTGTGGCTCAAGCGGTAGAGCGTCCATTAGAGAACACAGAGAGGCTCAGGGATAGCCCTCAGGTCCAGAGTTCAAAGCCCCAGGACCGGCAAAAAAAAAAAAAAAAAAAAAAAGGAAAAAAAAGGAAAAAAAGTAGGCTTTAATAACTAGCTAATTTATACGCCATATTAGGCTTTCCGAACAGTTCCTAACGGAATATTTACTTGCTATTGCTATGGAGTTTGCCATTTTGGAGTCCAGCTCATACTATTAGTACAAGATGGCTCCCTCTGTGTGCTTCCTTTCAGGAAGTGGCCGTGGTGACGTGACACATGCCTAGTGAGCTCAGGATCGCGTCCTGAGGTCTGCTGGGGAAAAAAAAAATCAAAAGAAATCATGAGACCTTCTAGAAAAATACCTGAAACAAAAGAGCTAGCGAGAATATACTAGAAGCCTGCCCCTCCCCGACGTGTGGACGCTGAGGTAGGCATGCAGATGCAGTGCAGTGGCCTGAGCTGGAGGTTACACTCAGAAACTCGCAGGAGCCAGTTTTTTCAACTGTCAGTACCTAGAAACAGGTCATAGTGGAAATATTTATGTCACAGAAAATTGGCAAGTGTCATACATTGGTGCTCTTATTTATAATAATGTACTTTGTTTGTTTTTTCCAGAAATCTCAGGGACCAGCACATGATTACAGGTCTATGTCCTGACACTCAGACAAACATGTCCAGGGTACTCAAAGGTAACCCCAATGACTATTTTTTTTTTCTAATTCAGGGAGAAAGCTATTTCTAGGGAAAGCTAGGAATTATCTATGTGTGGAAAGAAGTGAGCCTACATGAAGACAAGGCTTGGGGTTTGATCTCCAGCAATACATGAGGACACATGAATCAATGAGAATCAACACCACAATTTAGCTTCTGGTGTCTCTGAGAACTCAAACACACTTTGCCTATGTTACAGTCGGCCATCTGCCAGAGTCCATTTTACACACATGCCCAGAATATGAAGTTTCTAGAACCCCGATTACAACCAAAATACAAATTAGTACAGCCAGCTTTCATTATTCCCTTTGATTATTTAAAAACAGCATTATCCAGCACACATAAAATAGTACATTACATGTGATGTTTACTGAGCACTTTGCCACATGCCAGAGATATTTTGCTAAAGCTCGCATGAACCCCACACCAACAACCCCACAGAGGGGACATTAATGTTGCCCTTCTTTACAGATGCCCAAGCAGAGGCAGGCATGCAGGGTGAGTGGCCTTGGAGTTAGTGGTACACATGTGGCTTTGATGCTTTGCTCTTGAGGTTCTAATAAACCTCACTCATTAAAACAAGACTTCTTGGGCTTAACAAAATTGGTTTTTAATTAGGTTTTGTCGTATTCTTTGCATATTGATAACATAGCATATAGAATATTTGGCAACATATAAAACACTGCTTTTTTCCAATCTATGCTAGGATATGGAGCTAACTATGCCAATCTTCTTAAGGGACACCAAATGCCCTTTTCCAAAGGACTATCATACCCATTTGGATATTTGTATTTATAACAATACCATCAATCTGCCAGCCTCTTCCACTATAAATTGGCTTCTGAAGGACAGAGGTGTATTCATCTTTTGAGCATAGGGCCTGAAGAACCTGTGGCATGATAGATTTTCAAAAAAATGTTGAGTAACTGCAAGAACAAATGAATGTTTTCTCTAATAGCTAGGTTTTTAAAAGATCAAAATGCGTTCCATATTTTACATTTCTTCTCTAGTGATAATGGTAGCAATCTTCATGTCTGAATGCTTCTCTGGGTCCTATTGCTTGTTTTAACTGGCCTCCCAATTCTTTTTTTTGGTGGGGGGGGGGGGTTCTAGTTGTGGGGCCTGAACTCTGGGCCTGGGCGCTGTCCCTCAGCTCTTCAGCTCAAAGCTAGTGCTCTACCACTTTAGCCACAGTACCACTTCTGGCTTTTTTCTTTTTGCTTACCTGGTGCTGAGGAATCGAACTCAAGGCCTCATGCATGCAAGGCAAGCGCTCTACCACTGCGCCACCTTCCCAGCTCTGGCCTCCCCATTCTTTGTATCATTCAGTGTGCTGCTCCTAGACAGGCACTGGTGGCTCCTTACTGTAATCTTAGCTACATAGGAGGCTGAGATCTGAGGATGGAGGACCGAAGCCAATCATGGTAGAAAAGTCTATGAGACTCTTCTCTCCAATTAGCCAACAAAAAAGACAAGTAGAAATGTAGTTCAAGTGCTAGAGTGCCAGCCTTGAGCAATGAAAGTTGAGGGACAGTGCCTCAGCCCTGAGTTCAAGCCCTAGTACTGGCACACGTACCCACCCACCCACACCCACCCACCCACCCACACACACACACACACACACACACACACACACACACACACTGTGCCACTCTCTAAACAAGGACCTGAGGTGAGCACTCTTGAGCTTTTTGATTTCTATGCATGTGTGATTCAGCTATCTGGGATTCTTCCTGCCCAATTTCGCCCTCAGCACCACACACTTAGAGCCTGTGTTCAGGAAATGCCATAGTGTTCCTTACCTTTCTTTGCTTGTGATTCTTTAGGCTCTCCTTGCAACCAGAGAAAAATCCTCAGTGCCACATAGGTGGTCTTTGCTAAAATCAACATTTATCAAGATGGCATTCTGAAATAAAGACCTTCCTTGGTAAAGTGCCCACCTCTGATGCCAATCAGGGGGCTTTTCTGAATGAGCAGCACAAGATAACACTTTTTTGTATGCCAGTTATGGGGCTTGAACGCTGAGTCTGGCCGCTGTCCCTGAGCTTTTGTGCTTAAGGTTAGTGCTCTACTATTGAACCACAGCTCTACTTCTCATTTTTTTGGTAGTTATTTGGAGATAAGAGTTTCATGGGCCTTCCTGTCTGGGATGGCTTCAAACCATGATCCCTCAGATTCCAGCCTCCTGTGTAGCTAGGATTATAGACATGAGCCACTTGACATCTGGCTGTGACACTTTTACATTGCTAAATTTACTAAGCAGAGAAGAATACATTGCTGGATAGGAAGAAGAGGAAAGAGGGGAGGAGTAAGAAAAGAGGCATGGACCAAATTTCCCTTTCAATTGTTTGTCTCCCACACTATCTTAAATATATCTCTTTCTTCAGGCTGAGAGTAGGCAGGCTAGATTAATGATTCCCTAATAATACTTTTTGCTTGTGGTGAGAAAGGGAAAACATTGGTCTACTAGAGCCTGAAACTGCAATTGAATTCTGATCCTTATTCCTTTATAGACCAATGAAACTTATACCCCAGCCAGAAACTTGAAAGGGAAAGAAATATAATATGCCATTTTCTCTTTATAGCCATGTGTTAATCTCTCCTGGTTTTATGAGCATAACAGATTGCATCAATGAAAGTTATTACTGTCTCTGAGCATTAAAGATGTGTGTGTGTGTGTGTGTGTGTGTGTTGGTACCAGGGCTTGAACTCAGGGCCTGAACATTGTCTGTTAGCTTTTTCTGCTCAAGTCTAGCATTCTACTACTTGAGCCACAGCTCTTCTTCTGGCTTTTTGGTGGTAAATTGGAGAGAAGAGTATCATGGACTTTCCTACCAGCTAGCTGGATTTGAACTTTGGCCCTCAGATCTCATTCTCCAGATACCTGCTTACTTGTCGATTTCCTTCATCACACCAAGCATTCCTTGAGGGCAGAGACTATATTTTATTGCACTTTGAATTCTAGGCTCTTGCATGATGCCTGTGGAGAGTTTTGCTATTTAGATCTCAAAGACAGGTAGTTTCTAGGTTTTAATCTCCATCTACCAGCTCCCTTCTTATGATCTCATGTCCAAAATGAGCAGAGACCTGCAGCCACACAGCTTCCCTTGTCTGTTCTTCATCATGCCCCCTCCCCTCCTGGTGGAAGCCAGGCTATTCCAGCTGTCCAAATAGAAGCCCTTGGTGACATGTGGAGCTAAGCCTCTGTCTAGGAGGACAGTACTACTCACAACCACCAGATGGCAGAAGTGGATTATACTGATGAATACACTGCTAATTTCCTTGGACAAGGTTAAAAAAAAGTCAGTTTCTAATTTTAATTCTACACTTCATGTTTTTAATTGTATGATGTCTATAATTCCTGTTTATGGTTCTCTGCAGTGCTATTAAAACTACTACTACACCCAAGATATGCTATTGTGCCAACCACCAAACAAGCCTGTCTGTGGAGGACAAATGCAGCTCCATAGTCTTCCATTGAAACCCCAAGGGACGCCACCTCCCTCTCTCCCCACTCAGGAGGAAGGAGAGAGAAAATTGATATCAGTTCTTGCTATTCTTCAGTTCTGCCATTAAATCCAAACTTGAGAAAGCAGTGACATGTGATAGCTTATGAGCAGCTCAGTATTATCTGGGTGATTCTATACAAGTCCAATCAGGGAGGACTGATTAATAATAATAAAGGGATAAAAAGAATTACATTTCAGGGGCTGATGGTACTCAACCTTACTAATGATGAAAATGGAGAAAGTATTTGGTGAAAATGATCAGATTCCTTACTTCACTTGTCTTCAATGATCAAACAGTTATTGAAGTAATACTGCATGGTGGACTCATACTAAGTGCTTTCATTAGAATAAGAGCCCAGTGTGGTAATTCACACCTGTAATCCCAACACCTGTGAAGCTGAGGTGGGAAGATCACAAGTTCCCAGTCAACCTGGGCTATACACTTCATTAACCAAAAGAACATGTCCTTGATCATGAATGAATGGTAGAAGGCACACCCATAGTGGTTATGGTAGATAGTGGTCAGTGGCTGGATAAGGAATCATGAGATAGTAGGTGAAAGGTGCCAAATCAAAGCTGGAATGGCAGGAGTGGAAAGATTTCCACTGGATGGCTTACATTAATTACATGCTGAGGGATTGTTTTTAATGCAAACTTTGAAGCCAATGTTAACTATCCTCAATCTTTATTATAAGTGTAATCATGTATTATCACTGATAACCAAAAGATTTTGGGGCACAATTGCTTTAAGGACAGTAGTAGGTTTCATTAAAAGCAGAAAATGATGAGGATAGGGGAAAGGGCAGAAAACACACAAAGGTGGAAGGAAATAGGATAAAAATAACACTTATTATCATTTTATTTCTCTCTCATTCCATCACAGTAATGGCATGAAAATATTTTATTTGTGTTGGAATATCTTTCATAAAAACCGTTCTTTAATAGAGTATAAGGAATTTGGAACAACTACAATGAATGCGTAGACACCATCTGTCTCTATAGCAAGAATCTAAGGGCCCTAAAAAGTTGGCATGCCAACGTCTGCTACTCCATTTAGGGGACTCTGAAAAGATGATGCTCATTTCTCATCTTGTTGTTCTAATTATAGTGATCTCAAGGAATCCAAAAGTAATCAGTAGAAGAAAAAGTCTGTGTTTTACCTGGACAGCTATAAACCTATTGTTGGTTCTCTCAAGACAGAGAGAAACATAAATATCATTGATTTCCATGGAACAGTGTATATAGCAAGGTAGAAAATAGCTCTGGCTGGAGTTTAGAGGCTCAGATCCAGGTCCTGGCATTGACTCTACCCTGCTGTCTGGGACCCTGAGCAAGTTTCTCCACCTCTTTGCCTCCCAGTAGAATGTAGGCATTGGGTCAGCTCAAAGGTTCTCAGCTCAACAGAAATAGAACCTTCCTAGGGCTGGCTCTGGTGGTCAGAATTTTTGGATGGGTGCCAAGCAGGGTAACTATCTACAATGAACTCAAATCTTTTTCAGGAAAAAAAAAAGCCTAGAACCTATACCTGATTCAAATTTAAATCCTTTTGAATTATAGTCCAAAGTATTACTCTACTTACAATATATGTACAATGTGCCAGTTTTTATGGCTGTGTTCTCTTGATCCTCAGAGATCCTTCATTCGTGCATATATATATATATATATATATATATATATATATATATATATGTTGGTATGTTGGTTGTGGGGCTTGAACTCAGGTTCTGGGAGCTGTTCCTGAGCCACTTTGTGCTCAAGACTAGCCCTCTAACCACTTGAGCCACAGCATCACTTCTGGTTTTGTGGTTTGTTTTGTTCTGTGTTTTTTTTTTGAGTGGTTAATTGGTAATAAGAGTCTCACTTCTGTCCAGAGTGGGCTTTGAACCATGATCCTCAGATCTCAGCCTCTGGAATAGATGGGATTATAGGCAAGAGCCATCAGTGCCCAGCTTTTGTGTGTGTGTGTGTGTGTGTGTGTGTGTGTGTGTGTGTGTGTGTGTGTGTGTGTGTGTGTTGGTCGTAGGGCTTGAACTCTGGGCCTGAGTGCTTTCCCTACGCTCTTCAGCTCAAGGTGAGTACTCTACCCTTTGAGTCACAGCACCACTTCCAGTTTTCTAGTGGTTTATTGGAGAGAAGAGTCTGATGGAGTTTCCTATCCAGGCTGGCTTTGAACTGTGATCCTCAGATCTCAGCCTCCTGAGTAGCTAGGATTACAGGCGTGAGCCTCTGGCGACCAGCTTGTGCCCAGCTTTTTTGTTGTTGTTTGGAGTGACTTCTGATTGTCTAAATTACTTCATGCAAATTTGCTTTTTTTTTTTTTTTTTTACAACATTGGGCTTTGAATTCAGTGCCTTGTGTTTGTGAGGCAGGCTCTCTTACAGAGGAGCTCTGCCTCCAGCTCTGTTTTCTGCTGTTTAGTATGAAGATTATTTTGGCTGTAATGGGCTTTGAATGCAGGGCTTCACACTTTCTAGGCTGGTGTTCTACCACTTGTGCTGTATCTCTAGCTCTGATTTATGCTGGTTATTTTGGAGACAGACTTTGTTGAACTTTTCTGCCCCAGCTGGCCTCAAACTATGATCTTCCCAATCTCAGCTTCCTAGGTAGGTAGGATTATAGGCATGAGCCACAAGTGCTAGGACCCCAAATTTCCTTTTCCTGTGTACAACTATCTAGCTGCTTTTTGTGATTCCTTCTAATGTAATTGAGACTGAGCATTTGTATATTCAAATATATATTATTATAAATAAGTTTTACTTCTCTTTATTATCATATTTAGACTGGAATGGTACTTCCAACATGTATAAATAGGTTATATTACACATGGATTTCATTCAGTGTAGAAAAGGGAGCAATTCAACATATGTGCTATGATTAAGCAAGCTGTTGGGACTGACAAACGATAGATTCCCTGGAGGAAACAATCTCTGAGTCTCTCCCAGAAAAACCCTAAGCCTGGGGTCAGTTACCTCTGCGCAAGGCTTGCAGGCTTTGGCGGGCATGGCGATGCAGCTCTTCCACACAGGGTGGCCTTGTGGCTGGAAGGAAGATGTTTCGCTGTTGGTGCCAGGGTGCACGGTAATACACGCTCAGCTTACTCTCGATGTCAAGGTTGGAGACAGCTGCAAGACAGAGAAGCAACAGAGCATTGGACATCAGTGACTTTAAGCAATGTATTTGTTGGACTCTGGGGTGGGAAGGTAGACAGGAATGAAATCTGAATGGAGTGGAAGTACACAGCATTAGGCTTATGTGAAAAACAAACTCAAGGCTGGAGAAAGTTGAAGTCCGAGGGGTGAGAGACCCCAGGACCCCAACCATCTGTCTGTGACCAGCTAACTCTGTCTCAACTCTTCACTCTTCACAGTGGTTCATCAACTCCAACAGTTCCTATCTAGACTTTTAGAGAAAGGTAGTAATGTATTGCTGTCTTCTAAGAATGCAGAGGAAAGTTTTAGAGATGAACTGAAATTTTCCCTTAGCTCTGGCCTTCTGGCCACCTGATCTTTGGTTCATACCTTACATTGCTTCCTGTCCCTTGTGACCCCCTAGCTACCCCCGATCTTGTCCTCTACCCACCCCCTTCTCCACTGCTCACCATTTTTAAAGTATTTCTCACTGCCAAGAATGAACACAAGCATTAAAGAAAACAATGACAGGGGTGATAAATATTAAGGGAGGAAAACTGAAGAACATAAAGTTCTGTTAACTGCTTCACACACAATGTTTGTTTCATTAGTGTCTTGATTACATGAGGCGCCTAGGATGGAAGTCTGCTGGAACCAGGGAATTCTGGTTGGAAAATGGTTTCCCAGAGGAACTCCAGGGAGCCAGTACTCATGAGGACTACAGCAGTTTGCTCCGCCCTTCAGACTCACTCTCTCCATTGAGATGCTATAATGGATTTTGGCCATGAATTAGCAGGTGAACATTGAACTCATTACTTGCCACAGTGCTGTCTGTCTCTGAGATGGAGAAGGAAACCCCTTTCATGTCTTTTTTCAGTTATGTCCTTTGGTCACAGAACACTAATTAATATGATGTGTCCACTGAAGGTAGACAAGCACTAATAGAACTCTTTCAAGGAAACTATGCCATGTTCCTTCTTCTCAAAAGTCTATTCCTATTCCCAAGTAATAGTTCAGCCAAAGCTGAATGCATTCATTCATAACTATCACGGCAATTGCTAGGCTGTCCCACACTTTCAGGTTCATTGACTTTTTCCTACATTTTTAATGATTTCATCATGGCCAGCCCATACAATGTGGCAAGCTTGGTACCCTCAGTAATCTTTATTCACATAAAAAATGAAACAAAGAGAATCAAGAAAGTCTTTACTATGTCTATTTGGATACATTTAGGGGCTCCTCTTTGATAAGCATAATTCTAGGATAGCCTCCAGATTTCTGCACCCTCAAAGGGCATATATATCCTGTATAAATTTAAGTATAGGCCAAGTATACATTATATTGCAATGAGGATTTAAGTTTCCTAAAGAAGGAAAGCATTAGCCTGAGTTGGATCTAGCCTAATCATGAATAGATCCCTTAAGGGACAAGAAGCAATAGAGACTCTCTCCTATAGGTCTGAAAGAAGCATGTGATATTGTGGAGAAGACCTTGTGGTAGGAAATGGTAGAAAGCCTCTAGCCACTGAGAGCCTCCGTTCTACAAACTCAAGGAACTGAATATTGGCAACAACTGAAGAGCTTGAAAGAGAAACCTCAGATGAGAAGATGGCCCCAGGTGATACCTTGATTTCAGCCCAGTAGGACTACAAATAGAGACTTAGTTAACTCACACTCAAAGTCTCAAGGCACTGATGTTACATAATAATAATTATTGTATAAGCTTCTAAGTAATTTGTTATGAAATAATAGAAATAATAATAGGATAAAAATAGGGAATGGATACACCTTCCTACTATTTTATCTATGTCTCTAAAGTTAGTCATTTGCTTTGTCTTGTCATCTCTTCCCCTCTGTTACTGCTCCCCAAGGAAGAGGCAGATAATGGCAGGATTACAATGGGAAATTGAGCTGTGTTTTCTATTTGTATCCTCCATAACAGGAAAAAGTTATTCATAGCTCTTTTTTCTATCTAAGACTAATCTCTCAAGAGGAGCTTCAACCAGATGCTAAGCCCTAAGCCAGGTGCAGTCTATTCATAAAACCGTGGTACCCTCATACAATGAGAAGAAATGTATTGCCCTATTTTATAGATAGGAAAATGGAAGCTCAGAGAGAATAAGTCCATCTACAAAGTCATATACCAGGTCCGTAGAATATCTGGAAGCAGCAATCATTTCTGGATCCCAATATGCTTTTCTTTACTCAAACCAAAGAAGTCAGTTTGTCTCAGCCAAGGGTGGTTGGGGTGGGTCGAGGAAGAATGGGTTAGCTGCCATGTGCTATGGATCTAGTAAACGATTCAAACTCGCCATTTTCTCTATCACCCAGAGCAATGGGGGTAGTCAAAAATGGAATGAATCTTCCAGAAATTACTTAACAGGAGGCAGGAAGATGTGTTACAATCAGGAAGACAAACAGCACCACAAAAATTAAAGGGCTGAAAGAAAAGGCCATCATATGGAATGTTCATAAGGCAGTGAAAAGCCTTTCTAGACTGATCTTTGGCAAGTTCATTATTCTGGCAAACCCTGGAGATAATGGAATTGTCTAGATCTTGAGTCATAGTGGTGTACCATAAGCATGGAAATGGTCATTGGGTGCCTGAGAAGTTAGCTGACTGACATATTGAAGAAACCTAGTGGGTGCTATTGTCTTGGAAAAGTCCTAGTCCATTTCTAAGGCAGCAGGAGGTTTGTTTTTAGGAATTATTGAAAGGAGAGGGGGAAATCAGGTACAAATACAATCTTGCCCAAACCTTTCTAGTGCCTAGTAGCTCTCTACCCTGATAGAACTGGTACTTGTTTGATTTCACATTTCCTGGTGTTGGGAAGTTCTTGCTGCCTGAAAGTTTATTACCGCTGGAAAGAGTCCAAAGTGCTTATGTTTGGTCTTCCTTCTTAGCCCCTCTACCTCCAGTCCCCACCCCCTCCACTGGCTTTCTCTCACTGCTTTTTCCTCTTTCTTTCCCCAAGCCCTAATTTCAGCAGAGGGGCAGAGGCCTAGTGGTACAACCCTATAATCCCAGCTACTTGAGAGGAAGATCAAGAGCCAAGCAAAAGCATGAGACCTTATCTGAGAAAGGAGTTAGAAGCAAAGTAAAAGGCTCAGGTAGAAGAATGATTGCCTAAAAATTACAAATACAAAATCTTGAGTTCTATCCCTAGGTGACCTGAGAGGGATAAAGAGAGAGATAAAGAGAGAGACAGAGACAGAGGCAGAGATAGGGCAAGGAAAAGGAGGCGAATGGAGAGGAGGCAGGGGGAGGGGAGAGAATGGGATGGGAGAAGAGATAAGAGGAGAGAAGAGGAGAGAGGAGAGGAGAGGAAAAGAGAGGAGAAGAGGATTGAAAAACAGGGAGATGACAGATGAAATTAAAGGTTGAATGCCACATAGGGTAAAAATTTCAGGGAAAAGATGTGCCAATTGACTCCAAAATATAATTTTTACCCCTTTGAGGAAGGGAAGGAATGTAGAAAATATGTTCTTAGCGTGACTACAGGGCACATTTACCTACCTACACCTTTGTTCACCTTCCTTCTGCCCTTCTCCTCATTCCCACCCCCATCACATGGGTTTTTTGGCTAGGAACACATCCTTGCATGAACCAACCATCCATTCTGACAGCCTGTGATAGAAAGCAGTGAGGAGTATCGCACATTAATACATTAGGAAGCATCAGAAACAGCCAGTGTCACAGATCCATAGCTGGATTGTTCTGATTCCCTGCTATGCTGAAGGCAAATCTCAGCAGCCATCAGCATGGTGAGCAAAACAAAAACCTGCTCAGCCTGGAGCGGCTGCCTGAGTTCTCAGAGCCACTGGGAGGATGAGGAAAGGTGTTCACCAAGCGAGACCATTCATTCTCCCCTACTCTTCCTTCCTTGGCAACCAACTTTTGTCCACTCTGCATGGTGGCTTGAGCAAAGAGCAGGGCAGGGTTCAGGGACAGCAAGAACCACCAAGTCTCCTGCCACTTCTAGAGTACCAGAGCCAGGTTTATCAACACTTTGCCTGCTGGGCTTCCTTGGCTGTCAAGCCGCAGTAACTCAGACTTGTTCCTTATTTTGAACAAGTAGACCCCAAAGCATCAGAAAAAAATGAGGTTTCCTATCAACTTCTAGCCTCTCAAAACATTCTACCTTCCACAGAATAGAAGAGCATAGAAGTATATTAATTTATATACTAAAAGAATCTAGAATAATTTTTCTCATAGAAATCGTTTCCAGCCTATAAAATAATATGATGCCTCATGAAAGGAAAACTGTTTAATTTTACGGTTACTGTTTTGTTTGTTGTAATGTCTCCTGTGGGAAGGACACTAGGAGTCTGCAGTCATGGCCTTGTGTAGTCATTGAACATTTCTAGCACTCCAGATCTCCAGCTTGAGAAATGAGGGATTGGTTGTTTTTAGTCTTATTTTCTTTGATGCCACTGCTTCCTTCCAGCCATTAAAATCCATCCAGACTCTATTAAAGCAATTGCAGGATGGATTTGTTGAATGGCCCCGCACACTGGGATGGAAAGGTAAGTCTTAATCATAGGAGCAGTGAAATGCAGAGCAAGTCACTAAACTCTTTGGGTCTCTGTTAATTGTCCAAATTACTATCACTGCTACAATACTATACATTCTTCATAGATGTATGTTTCCAATTTATTAGTTTATCTTCATGTTATTCTGCTGCTATGTTCCATACCATGTGCTTTGCCAGTCCTGGGGATTGAACTCAGGGCTTAGGCATTTTTCCTAAGCTTCTCTTTTTGCACAAGACTGGCCCTTTACCACTTGAGCCACAGTGCTGTTTCTGGCTTTTTTGTGTATGTGGTCCTGAAGAATCGAACCTAGAGCCTCATGCATGCTAGGCAAACACTCTACTCCTAAGCCACATTCTCAGCCCCTATGTTGTTGTTGTTGTTTTTCTAAATTGCAGGGTATGACCTATGACTGGATTGTGAAATCCATTCAGCAGGTCAAGAGTAACATTTTTTGAAACA